TAGGAACTAACTCGAATCCAAAAGTTGAAATTGTCCTGGAGTAGATGCCCTCGAAGGTGACGAAGAAGATGATGACCAAGAAGAGGACAACGAAGGTCCGGATGACAGCAAAAAGGGAACGACACCCGAAAAGAAGAAGATGAGGGGTAAGAACTCGAGTCTTAAGCGATTCCTCAGGCGCAAAAAGCGACAAAATGTGATCACTCCCCAGACCGTAAGCCGTTTTATTTCCTTTTATAGATAATTGAAAAGATCACTGAACCGAAAACTTGGCTTTGATTATATAGGAAGCTTTGAAAGCAAAACTGTCTCAAAGAAAACAACTTCACATCCAACAACAAAAACAGAAGGCTGCTCAGAAAGATGGTAGTGGTGGTGGCACGGGTGGAGGCGCATTGAGTAGATTTTCTTAGAGCTTCCCTTGCTATAAAACTCAGCCACTTTCTATTTACCTGTTTTCTGTTCATTTTAAATATTGGGATCGTGTGTTTTAATTCGAATGATTCTGTTAATTATTCAACTCATGGAAGAATAAATTCACTGGCTGGGGATGTATAATCAAACTTTTTCTGTTCTGTTTTGCTTTCTCTTTCTTTGCTTTTTCTTACGATAATCAATCTCTTGCAGTTTTCATTTTTTTGCATTTTTTTTTGTTTTCTTTTCTTATAAAAAAATAGAAATGTGAGAACACATGAACAATCAGCTACTCAAGAATTCAGATTGATATCAAAATAGGTTTACTGCAAAGCTGCAGCATGGACCATGGTGTTTTGCAGCATGTTGCATGTGTTGTAATTTGGTGATGTTTTGGAGCTCAAAATGTTTTCCATTCAATCTACATGCTACAAGTACACCAAGCTGTGACCTATTTAAGAACCAAGATCAAAGATCACTGGTGAAGGTAAAAATATTTGACTGAAGCTTCCATGAGTGGCTTTGAAGAGCTATATGAACATCCTCACAGGTGTTTCTTCTTGGAAATAGAAATTTGGCCAAAGTATGGCCCACTTTTCAGGCCAATCCTAGATACAAACACTCCAGGGCACATCTATTCTTCTATCAATAAATTATACAAGATATTTATCCATTGAATATGCAGCTCCCAGATCTGCATACCAAACTACCACTGACACTGTCTTGTTGGACCCATGTGTTTGGTTCATTAAACAATTTTCAAGACTGAAAACCTGAAGTGATTTCTGAGTTGATTTGTTCTAGACTGGATGAAGTTTGGTGACAGAATTTGGTTGTTATTTAGCACCAACACCCCAAAGATCTCTTCCAAGCAGTTTTCAGATTTGATATTCAGAGTAGTCAGTTTTCTGCATACAATATACAACAAGTCAAGAGAAGTCAGGACTTTTTTTTCAGTTTGACATATCACCAATTGAAATATCACCAATTGAAATATAACCAATTGAAATATCACCAATTGAAATATCACGTTGAAAACACTGCCAAATATTATTCAGTTCAACCACACTAGTGATATGTGGTTGTGATATCTAGGAGTGAATACCAATTATTGGCAAATTAGGTTTGATTGCTTCTCCAATTCCCTTCTACAGTGGATGCAAATCTTACAGGATATCAATCCTCCATTCCAAATATAGTTTCTTATACTTGCTAAGTGTTTAGATTAACCCTTCTGGAACTTATTCTGACATTCTCTGACTTTCTTTGAGAAAACAAATTTCGGTGCGTCAAAATGCGCTTCCCCAGCAGGGCGTTGTTGGTGTAGTGGTTAGCATTGAAGCCTTCCACCCGTTAAGTGATCACGGAAGTCTAGCTTTAGTCCGGGGTTCGAATCCCCGACAACGCATTGTTTTTAGTCCGGTGGGTCGTTCCTAATCCCGAGGCACTTCTTCATTGATGTGGCAAGTAGACCTTTTCTAGGATTCTGCTGAGAAAGTGTAGTCTTTTTTGGATGTTATAACCGGAGATGAACTTCAAGTACATATTCAGATTGTTTTATTATCAAGTTTGTGTGTGATGTGAGGGAACTTGCCGAGTTGGGGGTGTGGAGAGAGCGCTGGCACTTGAGCCGTTCATGGTGAGCCAGTCCCTTGGATCGCTGCTGGGATGGTGACATCGGCAGTGGGTTTTCCACAGACCAGTCAATCAATCGGGCATGGCGAGACTGGTGATGCTCAATATTCTTGAAATACGTATCAGCACCAGGAACCGCTGACCGAGCGTCCGTTCTCGTCCATGGATGCCATTGCCGGGTTCTTGATTGAGTTCACTGGGAGGTCGATGTGAGCGGGATGTTCGTCACCCTAGGATATGCAGAAGGGGCATTCGGATTCCGGGGAAATTGTCGATGTAGGTAGATTTCCCCCTATGTCACCTTGATCGGCGCCCCTCGAATAGGGGCTCTTATCATCTGTATCAGCTTCACGGAATCTTTGATTTCTGATTCTTTAATTCAGCCTGACGACGGAATTCTGTTCCTTGTCGCGCCCTGCATCCGACCGCGAGTTTTCGAGTGGAATTATTGTTCCAGGGCCTGGGTAAGTTCGTTGAGCTCCGGATGAATGTGCTGTACAGTTGGTTAAGGGATCAACGCGTTCCGGCCCAGCAGCCAGGGTTGCCTTCAAACTCTGCCACGGGGCTCGGGAAGCAGCCGGTGGAACGGGGCTCTTTTTGATATACCCTCGGGTGCTTCCGGTCCCGGAACCCGGCATCAGGATCTATACCCCGAGGGAACCCGTCGGGGAAAAATAAATCAGCAATCAACTGGTAAAGCCCAAGAAAGTCAACAACCCTGCTTTCGACCGACTACGAACAATCAACGATGGGGTTCTCATTCAACTGTCCGTGCTTGTGTTGGCCAACTCAAAGGAATCAGCAGCAACAACAACACCAACAAGAACAACAGCAGCCTCTCTATCCGCACTCAGAAGCAGTAAGTAGCTCCAAGGCTCTATCTGTGGCTATATATAAATGTCCGAACTGACTTGAACTCTGGTTACCCAGGATGCCGATGAACGTACCCCATTGATTGTCAATCCACCGTGAGCGAGTTGACTCAATCAGTATCAGCTGACCATCCTCATAAACAGCTCACGTTTATCTTTCGCACGAACTTGTCCCAATCCCAACCAGCCAAGTAACTCCTTCACCATCTTTACCTGTTATCGATACCGCTCAACAACAAGCTGACGAAGCGGCCGCCAATAAGATCGTTTCCCAAACTGTCCGGTCAGTATCTCATCATCAGATCATTTTTTATACTCCTCCCCTTCAAATTAAGTCAAGAGAATCTAACTGGCGTTGAAACGAGATCAATAGATGTTTAGTGGACGTCTACTCTCAAGCCCCATTTTCACATTTGAAAATAAGAGGAGCGATTTCCGCATCAGATTCCATCTCAGACCTTCCTCATACACCCGACGGTGTAGCAACAGCCTGGCGAGCCTATGACCCACCCAGTTGTCCACCGGTCTCCTCAGAAACCTCCAAATATCAATTATCAGCCTCCACCAACTTCCAATCTCCATCAACAAACCATGGCCACCAAACCGCACCTTCAAAGCGCAGCTTCCACAGTCTCAAAACCATCATCAACCATCAGAATCGATCCCTTCCCGATGAACATGATACCCGACTGTCGGCATCTTTAATCGACCTACAGCAAGACCCTGCCCATCGTCTTTCCTCCTCCTCTACCCTCCCTGGATCTACTCATGCTTCAACCCAATTCGCAAGCCAACGTCATTCACGGGATAATAGCTTTGCCCCAACCTCTTGTAGTACCCAATTCGATACCATTCGGACTTTTCAAACTGCTAGAGATCACCCCAATCTGAATAACGATGATGACGAGGATGATCCGGATCCTACTGAAGACTTAACGCTAACCACTTCGCAATTCCCTATCAATAATCATCTTAATGGTGACCTAGATCCTCCTCCTCCTCCTCTTCTTGCCTCCAAACCTGACTTCGTCACTCGTCTTTGGGATCAATCTGATCATCAAGAACCCCCTCATGAGTCTGAAGAGTCTCCCGCAAATCTTTCAGATCAAACTAGTTGTCAGACCGACCCAACAGACCTTGTAAGCCGACTCTCTTTCATCTCCATGATCATCAAAATCAGCTTCATTTTTCCTTTTTTTTCTACTTTGTGCTAACTTGTCTGATATCATCTTATTTGAAAACCGTTCAGCTTACCGACGATCCTAAAAAGCTGGCCGAAATGATCGCTAATGGATTTCGCCTAACAGATACCGGTCCCATCTTAGTTGAACTTTGAAAACAACTCTTCCCCTCCCATCCAATGTTGCATCTCTTAACCTAGTTTCTTTCCACCCTTAATGGCTTTTTCTTTTTTGGTATTTTCATAATCATTCTTGTTTTTTGTTGTTGTTTTAATTTCTCAAGTATGCTTTTTTTGGGGGTCTCTTGATTTTTTTTTCTCTCTTCTCTTTTTTTCACTTTTTAATCATTTTTGATCATTTTCTTTTGTATTTGGTATCAGTCTAATTCCCCTAACCCATTTCTTCTTCTTCTCTTGTTGTCCTTTTTGTATTCATTTTTATTAGCTTAGTTGTTATTTGTGTTCTGCACTAATCACTCAATTCACTCATTCTTCTTTTCTTGAGGGGAATGGGACACTCAGTGCAACCCCTCACCCCCAGGCCCTGATTGAGAGATTTATGACAAGTTGAGAACACCAAAGCTGACCTGGGCTACCATTGATACTGTAAATGTTTCTTGAGTTGTCCAAACTTGTGCATGTGGACAATTGGTCAAGGCCCTGGTTGGAGGGTGACTCAAGACAACACTACCAAATTTTCACTTCAATGGAACTGGTGGGGCAATTTGGTTGAGTACTACTTGCTAAGCTTGTGCACCCTCTCACATATGACATCTATCTTGGCATGCAGATACAAGCCATACTAGATTTATACTCCTTTCCAAGTTTATTGCAACCCCCCCCCCAAGATTGGATCAGAAAATTACACCACAAGTTGTGTAAACTTCAAATCATCTTGGAATGTCCAACCTTCATATTTATCATTGGCCCTGGGCGCTTTTCACACCAGGAAATATCTCAGTAGTTGTCAGGTGACATGAAATGACATATGTTACAACTCCATTGTTACTCTGGTGCCTGTCTGCTCAAATAACAATGGGCCCTTTGTGGTCATCAGGGAGTCCCAACCCTTTGACTTTGAAGTAACACTGGAATAAAGGCAGGCAGGAGTTAGCTTCATGTCACCTGACATGTACTGCCCTCAAATTCTTCATGGTGTTATACGACTTTTTTTTGGCTCACATATCAGGTGTTTATTTGTATCATCTCAGAATTTGAATACCCAAAAATACCGGATTTGTGTTGTCTCACTTTCCTGAGACATACACATGTATTGTCTTTGAAAAGTGAGACATGTATTCTGTATTGTCTCAGATGACTGATCCCACCAAAACCGTATTTGATACACAAGATAGAGATGGGCGGGGATAATCTGTTGCGGATATCCACTATCCGCTGGTGGATACCCGCCAGAGGATGCGGATGTCCTTTCCCCCCCCCCCAAATCCCGGCGGATATCCGGGTATCCCCTGGGATACCCAAGACCAATGGCCGGCTGGAAGGTTTTCCTTCCAGCCGGCAAGGTCCTTCCAGTCGGCAAGCCATGTACCTCGTCGACTGGAAGGGAAACCTTCCAGTCGATGAGGTACGTGTACCTCGCCGACTGGATGGGAAACCTTCCAGCCGGCGCTCGTCAACTGGAAGAGAAATGTTCCAGTTGACAAGGTACATGTACCTCGCCAGCTGGAAGGCAACCTTTCCAGCCGGTGAGGATGTGCCTCGCCGTCCATTTAGAGGGCGGGTATCCGAGGATATCCGCTCGGATACCCGCTAAGGCGGGGGGATATCCGCCAGCGGATGCGGATGCCGCTTTCCCCGGAAAAAGCAACCGGATCTCCACATCCGCGCGGATATCCGGATGCAAAGTGACCATCTCTAACACAAGATATTTGGCTGTATTGAAGAAAAAAGAAAAAAAAAATGAAGACATTTTTTTTCATTTGTAAATCTGAATCCAAGACAATAAATTTTTTCACCAACCAAGAAAATACTGATACCAGATCAGGCTCAAAATAAAGACAATATGATCCAATATGAATACATGTCTTGTATCTGTTGCACCATTGATTCAAGTTAATGTTTGCAAGAAACATTCAAATTTGCTACAACAAGTTGTTTACACCTTGCCTCATCATCACAGCCCCAGAGGTGTTAGCAAAGAATAAAACACTTTCTCAGTTGTGCCTGAGCCTCATCAAAGCCTTGGCCACAAGTAATTGTTGCTGAGTTGATTTATATTACCAAGTTTAGATTTTAGTTCATTGCAAGCTGAAAATTGGTAAGGAGGATATAATTCCTGTTTATGAAGCATCCCTTTGAATCCTTCAAGTGAGAAGGTTTTACTGCCATGAAATCTATTTACATGAAAATCAGAAATACATATCCAAATACTTCCCTTTCTGGTGATTCTTCATTTGAGCTTTTTTTGTAGTGGTATGTGATAAATGAATCAGATGTTTTGTTGTTCTTTAAAAAAGAACCGCCTCAAAGAAGAACCACGATTGGAGCGGAATTTATGCCCCAATATTGCAACCACTGTATCCCAATAATCTTGGTCATCCTTGAAAAAAATGATAGATTCTTGATTGGCTTGATTCTTGTTCCAATATCCAATCAAAGACAGGCATAATCTGAGTAATGGGTAATTTGGCTTTGAACTACTCAAGTAATTGATTAATAATATCTGGATCTCAGAATAGTCTGAGGAACAAGGAGGATCATTCATAAAATTCCTACCTTTCACCACAAAATACCCAAAAATTGGTAAGCAAGTCTTTCTTTTTGCTGTTATAAACTCATGAATCCATTCAAAAAAATCTCTTGGGTGTTGATTTCCATCCCAAGTGTTGCTCCTTGATTTGAAAGAATCTGCCAAACCCATAAAACATGCTTTCAAGTATATTATCAATCTATTTATCCTATTGAGGAGGAGATCTTTTGGAATATACAATCTTGTCTTCATGGAAACAAATATTGATCCAAGGAATAAATCTCTCTTTTGATCATATCTGAGATTTTTGACTAGAATGGGAAGCTCTTTGGATTCAATCTTCTCAGTCTTGGAATCAAATTTCTCTTTTTCCCAAAATCTTTCTAGGTCACCCAAAATTTTTTGTTCTTCTTTCTTAAAATGTATTTGGTATGAAATCTTCAAATCTTTGGACTGTAATGAGTCTGGAAAAAAGCTCAATGGGGGGATTCTGAAGTTTCCAACTTGGCTGAAAGCATCACATGAGCTCTTGATTGGGTGATCAATTGTCAACTCTGAGTGAGCTCCATCATAAACTAATCTCTTCAAGTTAATCTCCACATTCTTATTTCTATCCAAACCCTGAAGCCAATCGAAGATTTCAGGTTCATAAGTTTCATAATAATATTTGATCATCAAAATTGATGATTCCATTGCCAAAATTGAATTTGACTCATGGGAAAGATAAGTAGATAACATTGATTGAATTGGCCCAAAATACATGCCCTCTTGAATATCTTGCACAATCCCAAGAATAGGGAGAATCTTCCCTCCAGGATTGAAAGACTGGTCAAACAACCAACTCAAAAGCCTGTGGTGAGCTTTATACTCCTCTTGGTGATTAGCTCCTCTTCCCCAAAAGCTAATCAATGCAGCCTTGTTGATCAATACAAGCCATTCAATTAACCTTATAAATAGTAGGTAAACTTTCTTTCTCTCTTGAGGAATCCTGACTGCTGAAGGTTTAGTGCCACTCTTGGGATTGTATAATATCCTGATTACATAAAACTTGTTGTTTCTGTTCCAAGTTATCCTGACATCAGGATGCATTTTCATTGAATTTAAATCAATGACTTTTCCCTTGCTGGAAACATGGAATATCACTGAAAGTTTGTACCAAAACTTTTGAATGAACTCATCAAAAAATTCATCACTCATGGAAACTTTTCTTCTTGGAAATCGTACTCTGTGGAGCCATTTTTCGATTTCCTCTTGTGAGACATTGGGGAGCTGATCCACACCTGTATGAATCTGTGTTTCTTCATCAAAAAATTCCTCTTGGTCATCTGGGATTGAATCAAAATCACTTGTATTGTTATGATCCATTGTTTCCTCCAAGCCACTTTCATGAGGAAAATGTGTTTTAGAAAATTTTTGGGAGCTTCCTATAGATGATGGATCTGAAACCAGATAATTCACAAAAGCATCAGATCTTTGTCTTCAGGGAAAAATGAGTTTCAAGGTGTTTGACTTACTTTGCTGTTTTTCATGATCTTGAGCTGTAGAAAAATGCTGAGGTTGAATGTAATCTTCTGTTGGAAAAGCCAAGTCTGAGTGTTCCTGCAAGTACCATTGGTTCCAAACCACTGGATATCCTGGACCAACATGCCCCAATGCTAAATTATTTTGCAATTCCCAGTATGATTCAGGGTTGTCAAGGGCTGAATTTACATGTAAATCATTATGCTCTGCTGGTCCAAACATCGAGTTTTGTGTCCCGAAGTTTGTGTTTTCTCTTCCCCCACAATTTGAATGGTCATAGTATTGTAAGGGAGTGTCTGATGCCATGGTTTGGAAAAAGCTAAAAAATTTCTGATACTCCTGATCTATTTGATTCTGTTGTGTGTTTGAATGGATCTCAAGTCCATTCATGTGATTATCCATTCCATCTGGAATTCCAGGTGTCAGGAACGTCCGATGAGGAACAGCGTCAGTGGAGGATTCAACCCCGAGGCTAGAATGGGAACTGGTGCCATGGTGAGCAGCAAGCACTGTTTTTTGTCTCTTGGCCCCGTTGGAAACGAAAAAATGTGCCGGATTGCCTGCTTTGGAAAGTGACCAATTAATATGAAAAATGAGGGGACCTCGAGCAAAAAAGGCTTGTTCAACTTACCATCCTTAAATTCATTTCGATTTCCGAAATCAGCACAATGAGCTTCAACACCTGATTGGGCTGGCTGGCATGGCTCAGATTGAAGTTCTTGTAGACGCTTTTGGCCGAGTAAGCTGCCCCGGTTGAACACTTCGAAGAGATCTCCGGTGTTTGTTTTCCTATCGATTCCGAACAAACTCCCCGAGTCTGAATCCAGAAGCGTTGGACCAGCCCAAGCAATCCTGAAAGCGAAAAAGCATACTGTTGAGTACCCGAGCAAGCTGAATTTCGAGCGCATAATCATCGCCGGGGCTCTACAGGACTGGAGAGGATGATAAATGATGACTGCTTGACACGATCAGGAGCGAGATCTGCGTGCAGGGCCTGACTTGACAAATCCTACTCCACCGTATACAAGGATTTGGGCATTCAACAGTAGTTCTCGCATGTAGCAGATCCATCAAGTCAAGAATGTATGAATGTACCGTGTCGACAGACCGCAGAGTGGTTTCACTTACGCAAGTGCCGGATCTTAGGTACGCCGTATGTGGCCTTCCCGGTAACACAAGTTTTCTTTTTTGCCGCACGCATCAAGACTGGTCCAGCAGGGCTGCAAAGGGCTTACTCGTGACCGGCAATCAGAAGCAGCAGGATGATCTGTCGAGTACGGCAAGGAGCGAGCTTAACAAAGCCTCTCGAGTGAGAGCCTGTCTCGGAGACCTTGTGGCCGCTAGTGGTCCCAGCACTGCAGGCACCTGGGATTCACTAGTGCAGGCTTGTTTCGCTTTCCTTTCCTAATGCTTTCACTCCGCTCATCATGCCCTGCTTGAGGCACCCGGACGTTCTTATCTTTCGCTTTCGTATTTCTCTCTCTCTCTCTCTCTCTCTCTCATGGTTCTCTGCACTGATTGCGTCTCTGGAGGCTCGTATAAGAGCCTCAGTTGTTCTCGGGTTGGTGTTTTGATCATCGATCCAGAAACAAAAACTGGACATCAAAACTGAGGCTCGGTCAGAAATCCATATTTCTGACGTTTTGGAGCCATTTTATTCAAGCCAACTATACGGAAACGTTTTACTCCGTGACATTTTCGGTTCTTGAGTCCCACTGTGTTTGTTTGATCAACAAACAACGCCATATTTTTCATGTATTCTCAGCATCTTCTGAAACAGGAAAGGCCAAGCAAAATGTCGCCTTATCTGAAATCAACATGATATCGCCCGATGGGTTCCACTGAATCGATGTCGCATTGAAAGGAATACCTAAGCAATCAAAACAGTATTATTTTTCTTCAACAAATTCATTTCCAAGCCAGTCATTGAGAAAGAGAAACAAAGGAACACACCTGCAGGCACACCAATTCCTTCACAATACTCACCAGATTGAGAGGCGTCGAGAGACGAAGGAGTAAGGCCTGGACGGACAGGGAACCATGAATAAACGGCTGAGGTAGCGCAGACCAGAACCAGCTGGGTCAGGGTGGGATGCCATTGTAGACATCTGACTGGGGTGGAAAAGTGGAGCACACTGCTCAGGCGAGGGCGCAGAGGGACTGTGGGCTGGGTATGGGCCGAGTCTAGATGTGCATTTTGGGAGGATGAACTACCACTACGGAAAGAGAATATGAAGACTGCGGTGGGCAGCGCGTCTAAGAGGAAGAAACAGAAACAATGTTGGTCATTCTATGTGACTGATTACTCCAGGATATTTAAAAATAAGGGGCATATGCACACACCATTGCGGACCGCCATGTAGTCTCCCTTCGGACTCCATTCAACCTCTTTAATTCCAATTGTTGGATTAGGTTTACTAAAGTCAGGTTTCAAAGGACTTGGAAGGACGTTGATTGGCTCTAGTTCGACTAAAGCGTTATTTGAAGCGAAATGAGCCACGAAGAAATAATTCATGTCAGTTGATGACTAGGTTCCGATCACCATTACGCGACTTAGTCTTACACGGAATAATTCCGTGGCCTCGTGTCCGTCCGATCCATTCTCGAGGCTCATTGAGAACTCGCTGTGGTACAGAACAATCAAAAAATAAAATCAGCGGAGGTTTGAGGGAGATGATGATGATTGACTAACCCCGCAAGAGATGTCACTCAAGTCGATTTCGCAGATCGATGACCAAGTCAAGTCGTTCAAGAGGCGCACCTAAAAATGGAGGTTGGTGATCGATGAAAGTCATTATGGGCACTGAATGAGTCGCGAGGTTTTAGACAAACAGAAGGTTTAGAACTTGCTTTACAATCCCATCCACCAACGGCAAGGTATTCCCCACCTGGTCTCCACTTGATGTGACGGATGCCCAAGCCAACATGAACGCTTGAATCTGCCTCTGGGTCTTGATGATGGGTGTTGGATGAGACTTTTCGCTTGTGAGGCGGGCCGCTCGGAAGGGTGTCCGAATGGCTACGGTTCAGGGTTGGGGGTGGATGGTGGATGTGGTGATCGGCGGAAGAAGGATCGATGTGAGTGAGGATGAGTTTTGGGGGTTGTGGGACATAGATGCCAAGTTTGGCCCCGGTTGGGGACCAGATTTCGACGCGATAATCGAGTAGAGCCGATTCGACGATTGCCAGATATCGACCACATGGGCTCCAGTGGAGATGGGTCGGATCAACTAGTTCGGCAGAGAGCTGGAACAAACTGGCACATGTCCATGTGATCGTGTCGTATATACTGACGCAGTCATGAAAGTTTCCTGGCTGTCGACAGAGCAGAGCAAAATATCGCCCGGTGGGTGAGAAGGAGGATCCGATGTGGGGCCCATGTTTGGGATGATGCAATTGGACCGGCTTGGGTTGTGAGTTGGAGAGAGGCCAGATGGTGACCCTGAGCTGAAATAAGGAGATAAGAGGATAGTTCAGAAAACGGGTTAATGATTAGATTTTCAAAAGGATGAAAGTTTTTTTTTTTTCGTTTTTGAGAAAATATACTGACGTTCCAATCACTCCAGACCATCAAGCTGCACCCACTCGGGCTCCATCTGATTGCCTTGTCCCCACCCGCGACGCCCTCCGCGCCAATTTTAATTTGAGCAGCGAGCTGATCGGCTTCTATCGAATAGATGGAGACTACCGAGGTCGTAGTTTGTCGTAAGAGTGCACAGACGTACTGAGAGTTTGGGGAGAAGGAGATGGATGTGAGCAGCGGTGGGCGCCGGTCATCCTGGGGGGTGCCCGGTGCTGGCTTATTGGACGCGTTTCCAAGGTAAGGGATCGTGGGCTGGATGGAACGCGTTGAGGACTTGACGGCCTGCTTGTCAGTGGCCGATGCGGATGAGGAGGCGAGCAGCTTCTTCGGCTTCGGTTCCGAGTTAGTCGAAGGCTCCTGCTCAGTTCTCCAACTTCGGATGACTTCCATCGATTGGCTGAGCCGGACCACCAATCGGTCGCCCACCGAGGTCAATACATAGTCGCCATTGGGTGAGACCGTCGAGGAAGATGAGGAACTGTGTGGGAAGAGTGGAGTGAAGTCCATCTGAGTTCTGCTTGAGGCCGAGTGGAGGCGGAGAAATATGGGTGATGGTGGTGGTACTTTACTACTTAGACCATCTCCACCCGGGGAGGTAAACTGCGGTTGTAAACCAAATTTACCTCCCCAAGCCCAAAATTCCCCTGCCACCGGGGGTGCTAAAGGGGAGGTAAATTTAGGGCGCGTACCATAGCCGCCCGCGGGCTGCCGATTTCCAATTTTTTTGGCAGTAATTGTTTTTTAGCAAAAACGCGTACCACGGGGTCCAGTTTTTTTGACAACCCCACTAACTGTTTTTTCATTTTTGCTGCCGTTGGAGGAAACGGCCCCACCCCCGTTTGCAAAAACACTCTGTGCCACCTTGTCTCCAAAGCAACTGGATACTCTACAACTCTACACATGATAGACCCTAGCCTCTTTGATATCTCTCCGCCAGCTCACCCGTCCGATGGGTCGGATGATCAACTGCCACCACTACCACCTCCACTGCGGCTTTCACCAGAAGACCAGGCCTCAAAAAAAAAAAAACAACCAAGTACCAATACAGCAAAAATCACCCCAAAGCCTTCTTCAACCACCTCAAAACCATCTGCAACAACCCCAAAGACCCAAGCAATGACCTCCAAATCTCCGGCGATCAACTCCAAATCCCTCCAAGAATCGGCTGCATCCAATGGAAACGCAAACGCTCCGCACACTTGGATGACCCTCGAGAAATGTAAACTGCTTGAATTGCTCTATGATGAAATGTCCGCGGGACATGCAACCGACAATGGTAATCTGAAAAAAGAAGGTTGGACTGGGGTAATGAATGGGCTAAATGAATATTTCAACTTAAAACTCAATCACGAACAAATCAAAAACCAGAAAAATGCAATCTGATCCCTGTTTTTTGACTACAAGTTCCTCTGTGAGCAATCGGGCTTTGGTTGGGATGATGATAAATTCACTGTCACGGCGGATCAAAGGACCTGGGACGAGCTCATTCAAGCTCATCCAAGACGAAATTTCGGCAAACTTAAAGATAAGCCCTTTCCAATCTTCGAGCTTGCTGAACGTGTATTTGTTGGGAACTTTGCGACCGGTGAGAGTGTCAATAAACACGTGTCACCAGATGAGGTTCCTGTGAAGGTCATTGATGACTCAAATGCAGAGGCCGCTTTGACGGCTCCGACTCCTACCTCAAAAAAGAGAAAGAATAATAAGAAGAAGGAAGTGGTGGTCTCAAGTTTATCCAACACCGATACTGATGTTCGAGTTTTGAAGAAGCAAAGCGAGTCAACATCTACGAAGCGCATCCGAGAGACCAAAGGCACCGACGGCTTGGTTGGGGCTATCAACAATGCCAGCAACACTATCGCTAGTCTTCACAAAGAAAGTTCTCCATCCAAAGACAATCAACCAAACAAGACCTCTTCAACTGGAACCACTTCAACTCATGATTCCCTCAATGCGCAAGCTCTCAAATGTTTATCTTTGTATTTCCTCAACAAAGTTGACGATGAGCAATACATTTGATACGTTTGGGTTCTTGAAGATGAAAAAAAGCAATGACGTTCTTATCGCTTGCTCAAACGAGTTCGCAAAAGATTTGTGAGATGTGGCTGGAACGCGAGGTAAATGGTCATTAGGTAAGTGGAGGTATAAAGAACTATTGGCCTTCAATCGATCAACTGACACTCTTCTGCTTTACAGTTGCTTGGATCCTCCTCGGTCAATGATAATTCTGTTTGCACTTGGGTCTTTCCCTCCTTATTATGTGCTTGTGTCTGATTTTCCTATTATGTGCTACTCTCCTGAATGAATCAAAAACTCAAAGTCTTATTTCTTACTCATCGATCAAAACATAGTGTGATGCTGTCCTTTGAACCCCCCTTCAAAAACAAAGTGGGATGCTGTCCTGAACACCCCCTTCTTTCTCGGCTATATGATATAATCATCTCCGGTCAATAAAATACATACTAGGAGACCCAAGTGCAAGATAAGACCCGGCTGAAGTCACATGTGTGTTCATAATAGTATCCGAGTCCGATTCAATTTCAGAATGATTCAAGCAAGGCATATCCAAGTCCGACTCCGATTGAATTTATGATTGATTCAATTGAAATCCAACAAGCTGAGATTGCAAACAGAAATTGAAGAAGCATTGACTTCAAAGACAATGCACTTGACAGAATTACCAATGAGATAGACACAAGCAAGGTAAATCAAAGAGAGAAAACAAACAAGAGAAAGAATGAAAAAACAAAGCCTGAATGAAAAAAGACTGAAGCGAGAGGGGGGAACCATCACTTCTGGCCGGTGTAAGACAAATACTGATCCCACATCTTATTTGCAATCCAATTGCGTCGGATCTTCATGCGTGCATCCTCAACTGCCGGGGAATAGATCATATTAGTAGACCTTGTCTGTTGTTGGTTTCTTTTGAAATTTCCTCCATCTCGTCCATAAGAGAGCCAATCGATTTGTGTATTCTGATAAAATTCCATAGTACACAGAGCGAGTAGACCAACCTTATTTGTTTAGACAGATCAATTTCCGGTGGACTCTTCAGAATTGTAAACTTTTTCTTAAATACCCCAAACAATTGCTCCACTATGTTTCTCAGGGAAGCATGTCAAAGATTGTAGAGCTCCTTTGGGTTTGCTGGACGTAGACCGGCGGCCTCTTGTTCTTTGAGATGATATCGAACCACTTGATAGGGAGTCATCAAGCCGGGCTGTAACCCATAGCCGGTGTCCCCAACAAAATATTTCTTATTTGGAATCTGCAACTTCTTGGATGTTGCATTGTTAAAAATGCGAGTATTGTGTGCGCTGCCTTCCCATCCCGCAAGGATGTATACAAATTCAAAGTTGAAGTTAACAGCCGCCAAAACATTCTGACATAAAAACCCCTTCCGGCAACGCCAGGGGGATTGGATGTTTGCTGGGACATGTGCTGGGATGAGCACACCATCGATAGCCCCGAGACAGTTTTTGAAAGCCGCCATTTTCAGATTACGCTTGATACAGTCATGGAGGGCTGTTGTTGTTGAGTTGAACTTGACGTATCGCGGGTATAACATGAAAAGGGCCTCGAGAACCTCTTCAAAGTATCTGTTTGGAAGTTTCGAAAATCATCAATCCAACAAATAAAAGCCATGGAATGGATATATGATTTTAACAACTGACCGATTGACTGTATATAATCCACGTCGGAACTTCACTGCGGTTTGACGCATGGAGTTGTTGTAGCAAGTGATATCAAAAAACATGAGGACCTGTTCTTCGACGGTCACAGATCGTCCATCTCCGAGGAGCTCTGCATCTTCAAATTCCGAAACTAGCCGATCAAAGGTGGTTCGTTCGATTCCAGTGATCTCGAGGAATAGTTCTGGCCGGGCTACATTCAATAGGAATTGCACGTATGTTGTCTGTCCACCGTCGCCATAATAAGGAGAGCCATCGGGAAAATAGTAATCCAAGATGAGTATCGTAGCGGCAGCAGCAGCAGCTGAGATCAAGAGGATTAGTTCGGATACTGCAGACGAGATCTTGGATGACATGTTGAATCGGATTGGCGGGGAGGAATTTGCTGAGGTGAATGCAAAACCGTTGTGGTGTGCTGTGCCTGCTCCAATGCCAAAAAGCATACAGCAGAGGTGTTGGGATAGCATAGTTACATACATGTGACAATCATTACAAGAGAAGGAACAATCATTATGGATGAGGTGTGGTATATACGGACAGGATTACATACAATGAGTGGATTGGGAGAACATGCCTCGACCAGGAATGGAACAAAGGAGCGGTGTGCATACAAGGAGTGGAGTGGGAGATCATATCTCAACCAGGAATGGAATGGAGGAGCGGAAGTATATACGTGGAGAGGAGTGGGAGAACATGTCTCAACCAGGAATGGAACGGAGGAGCGGTGTGTAATAAGGGTACTTCATGTTTTACGTAAGGGTACAGGGTACGGATTGTAGAAAGTGAAGGGAGAAAAAATATTGAGGCGGAGGGAGGAAGGAAGGAGTGAGGAGAGGCTTTGACCCCCAAGATCCTGGGTGGAAGGAGATAACAGCAGGTCTGGCAGGC